AACCTGGCCCAGCTCCTTGGCCCCTCACCTCTAAAGGCTTTGATACACTGCACGCGAAGCAGCGGTGCAGTGTGTCATGTAATTTTCTCCCCGGAACGTCGGCTTGCGGGAGCTCGTGTAGCTGAGCGTGCCGAGATGAAAAATGTCATCTTCAGCCAATCGGCTCGCGCGTCAGGATCCAACATCTGGCCGGTTGTTACACGCGAGCCGAGCTCCGTGCTGGACAGCTTTGGTTCACTCTGCACGGCTTTGCCTGCAGTGTGTCATGGGCTTAAGTCTGCTGGGGCTGCTGACATCCCATCCAAGATGGCAACATCCACCAGCAGTCTCAAGCCTTTTTAATGTCCACATAAGGAAGGTTTTAAAAGGTAAATAAGATGCATATATAACCTTATGGAAAGAGTGTTGTTTAAATAAATGGCTCGGCGATAGGGTCTCTTTAACCATTTACACACATGAATCAAAATTAGATCATGTGCATGGCACATCAATGTGTCATAGTAGCTAATGGTCAGGGCAAGGTGGGCAAATATATGTTGACTGTGAGCGCAATAGATGGACGTGGTTAGTTTTTGGAGCAGAGAGCAGTAACCTACCTGAAGCCTACCCACACCACACAGGCACAAAGCCTTCATAAAACATACCTTTCAATAACACTTATTGACATGTCACAATGTACAACAGAAGCATAATTTTCTATAAAAAAAGCTTTACCTTTTATCATTAAGGCCTCATTCACTCTGTGCTAACTCGGGTCGTACATGTCCGTGCGGCATGCACGCCCGTATCGGGCCGTTCTCGGGAGGAACAGGTGAGGTGCTGTGTGAAGCAGGTTGTTCTTATCTATGGGAGGACTCGGCCATTCGCTTTCATACGCACACCTGAACTGCACATCCCTGCGGATCCGGGTGTCCGTACCTGAATGCAGACAGGATGGATGTCACAAGACCAGCAATATGTGAAGAAAAAAGATATGTATAGGGGTTTAACATGAAAGAATAAATCTGATGCTAGGTCCACTTTACCTGAATGCATCCTCGTTTGCAGACTCACCTCTCCTGCACTGGAATCTTCACAAGGCATGGGAACCTAAGGACCCTGATGAGACTGTAGGCATAGCATGGCTCCCCCCTAAGGTTCAATAATATTAAAATGGGGTGGGCACTGGTACCAAACAAATTTGGGTGGCTGGCTTAAAAAAGAGCAATGAAATTGTTAACAGATTATATATAAAGGTCTTGACAGATCTGAGTGCGGAAGGATTAGAATCCTGTGGGGGTTTTACTGCCATTCAAGACTCTGTTAGAGATACTTGCCTTTGCTTCCTCTCCTGCTTGCTGCAGTTTAGCCAGACAGGAATTCTGGTGAGCGTTCCAACAGCACCATAGACAGAAATAAAAATCTGACAGGGGTTCTAGCTTTCCCTTACTCTGTCTAAAATAAACAATTCGGGGTCTTTCGTTATTCATTTACATATTGTTGACTGAATTTTTTTTTTTGCCTAGAGTTCTCCTTTTGATGCAAGCAAAGGGGAAAGAAAGTTCAGCCTATATTTAAAGGAAGTCATTGGCAGAGCACAGAATCCAAGGTGGAATATATTCACTGCGGTTTGCATAGCTTTATAATGACAGTATTGATTTTACCATGGCTATATTAGAAAGTTGATGACAGAGCCTGGGGTTAATGAGACTGGAATTGAAGGCAAATAAAATGACCTCAGATGTTCTGTTCAGCTAGATAAAGTGCAAAATCCTCCCTTGTGGAAGAGTATTATGTACTGATCTATATGCATTTTCATATTCTACTCATTTGAGAGTTTCTGCCTCTGGTATATGTTTTTGCCACCTCAAACTACCAATTTCCTCAGTTTATTTGGTAATTCATCTCCAAGTGTTCCAACTGGGGCATCAGTCCTCTGAAAAGTGGGTTCGGAGGGAAAATTGCCCAGTCATTGTTCCCAGCTCAGTTCCTGGGCACCCTGATGTCTCACTTCTTCTATTACAATACGTATTATTATTATACAGGATTTATATAGCGCCAAGAGTTTGCACAGCGCTTTACAATATATGGAAGACATTACATACACAATACAATTCAAGACAAGATGGTAAGGAGGGCCCTGTCCCTGAGGGCTTACAATCTAAAAGGGAGGGGGAAGTGATACATGATACATATTGTCCTTAATTCTGTTGCATTCATAAAGAGTCTCTGCCATCATGCGCATTCAAGGAAAAGTGATTTTGGATTGTACACCCCATTAATACCCAACGTACCATAACAATATACCTCAATTATAAAGTAAACCCACAACAAAGGTTATAAAAAACTTTAGGCTGTTACCCATTTATTGGGTTTAAAGGAGAGGTATTTTGTAGAGTAAAATATATTCTTTCCAATAGTTAGAGCCGTCATGTAACACCGCAGTTGACACGCGGTAGTCTGTTTTGTAGGTATGTTGCAGTCATGACGGCTTCTCCCCAGTACTTCTTAGATAGGTTGGTGTCTGACAACATGCATCCGGCCATTTCTATAAGTGTGATTTTTCCGTTCTGCTACACCATTTTGTTCTGGAGTGTATAGTGTGGTGGTCTGGTGTACTATACTCTGTTTCTACAGATATGATTCCACTTCCTTACTGATGTATTCCCCTCCACCATCTAGTGCTCAAAAGACATAGTTACAGTATATGCTGGTGTATTTCCAACACCCCTTCTCAACAGCATATGCGTTGCTATATTACGTTTAGCTTCTCTTGAAGGAAACTGTGACGATTCGTTGGTAATGGCTTGGTGAGTGTGTCTGCAGTCATTTCTTCTGATAAACAATACTGCATGTCGATAATAGCTTGCTCTTGAGTGTCCCAAAGCAAATGATACTTCACATCCATGTGCTTGGCTCTAGGGTTGTCCCTTTCTGATTGTGTCAGCTTTATACATCCCTGGTTATCTTGAAAGATTGGGATGCAGTTTGACATGTCTATACCCATGTCCATTAAAAGCTGGCCTATCCATATTGCTTCTTGGCAATTGTGTGCTACTGCTATGTATTCAGCTTGAACTATGTGCGACAAAATGCGCAAAAAAAATCCCATTCATTCTTATGGCCCCTGTTCACACCTGCGCGTTTTTATCTCAAGCTGTAAAACGTCTGAAACTCAAAAAAGAACATGAGCTTCTTTTACTTTGCTGTTTACAGCGCATTTTGTCACCATAGACTTAATCGGAAACGCCTGGAACCGTACGACGGTTGCAGCTGATTCAGTGTGACAAAACGCTCCACCTAAAGGTGGCCATACACTGTACAACCATCGCAAGACCTTAGTCTTGCGATGGTTGTAAAGTGATTTTAAAAACGTACGATCTGCCCATTTTGGACAGGCAGATCGCACTCTCGATCATCGCAAGCCCGCCCCCCTGAGGGGGCGGGCTTCCGATGACCGCAATGCTGAACGGGCAGTGTGCGCGTGCGCACACCGGCCCGTTCGGCATTTGTCTCCCGAGCACCGTTCAAACCAGCCGAAAATCGTACGATTCTCGGCTGGTTTTCTAACATGCTCCTTAGACAAAAGACATGCGACCGTACAGTAGAAAAGGTCGCACGTCTTCGTTCACACTGTTCAATTCTCGTACGATCGCAGGATTTCCCGTGATTCTCGTACGAGAAAAGAGCAGTGTATGGGCACCTTAAGGAATCCCATTCATTTCTATGGCCCTGGTCACACCTGTGAGTTTTGTCACAAGCAGAAATACACCTGTCGCTCAAAATAGTACATGAGCTACCTTGGGGCATATTTTATCGCATTTTGTACCATAGACTTAATAGAAAACGCTTAAAACCGCTTGAATGTGCCAAAATCTGCTCATAAAATGCACAACTTAATTTATGCGCAAAAACGCTTCAAAAAAAGATGCACTTAATAGGTGTCGCCTAGGTGTGAATAGAGCCTTAATGTATGTACGGCAAGACATGCACACAAACGCGCAAAAGACACTGAAAAGCACTAGGTGAAAATGCACATAAATATGCACAAAAACGTTGATGCCTAGGTGAGTCCTTCCCATATGATGGAAACAGACACATTTCACACACATATGAATGCACAAGAACAATTGTGAAAACATATGCCATCATGTGCACAGATGTTTATTAGGCTTATTTATGTTTATACGGTAGGTATTGCAGGACAACAATGAAGAAATTTAATAATAGACAGAATGAGGGAATTGACAAAAAAGTGTTTCCAACTAAATTAATAAAAAGAGTTTTAGACACTTCAGCGCAGCAATCAGCTTTGAAATTTTCTAGCCTGTGTGGAATAAATCAAAAAACGTATTGGTTGCTATGGGCAAGTTGAGGTAGAACTTGTCTCAGACACTTTTTATTAATTGCTGCCCCCAATATTCCCAACCACCCACAGTTAGGGTTGCCACCTGTACAGGATTCACCCGGACAGTCCGGGTTTTGAATGCTGTGTCCGGGTTTCATGGCAGCTGAGACCCAGACACATGATGTCAGGCAGATAGGGGCAACCAAAATTAATATAGGGGCTACTGCCCCCCCCACTGAAAATAGTCTTGACGGTGATATTTACATATGAATGGGTGGCGCTATTTAGATATGAATAAGCCGCAACTCATTCTCCCCTATGCGTCGCTAGAGTGTTCGGGTTTCGCTGAAAGAAAAGGTGGCAACCCTACCCACAGTACTCATAGAGATGTATTTGTACTGCATTTAATTTTACATGCACAGTCTCTGATACAGAGCTGCCAGGCTTTGGGCACGTACAGGTATCAATAGCCCTGCTCTCCTTCCGCCATCTTGGTTACTGGCAAACTTTCGAAATCCTCGCTAACACTTTAATAATCCAATCTACACACTACACAAACAGTCAATGCTCCTGATTGATTCACTATTATGTATTCTTAATAAAAGAAACACGAGACGCATTCGTTATTAGGAGGACAAACACACAAGGATTTCCCGAGCACTTCCGGTGGAGGGAGTGACCTTTGCCCCCGCTGACTCGGTTCCTTCCTTTCCTGTAGCGGCTCCACGAGAAGACGTAGCAGTAAGTGCGGCCTGTCCCTATAATCCTCATGAATCCTATGTTGTGGCCGGGCGATATCGGCCGTGACCCGGTGCTGGTGATAGGGGGAGATCTCCTCTATGTATACCAGGGGGTATTGTGCCGAGGAGAGGCTGTAGTTAAGCTGTTTGCCTGGTATGGGGCCCGGCCTATTACAGCTTCGTCCCGGAGGATGGAGCGGACTAGGCCAGGCCGAGCGCCTGTACTGAAATATGACCGTGCATCATTCTCCTCTGCTGGCTCTGTGAGTGGGAGCTATTTACAGTGTTATGACTGAGAAATGGGCCTACTGTCCTGGGTAGAATTGAAATGGATGTCCTGGACCTATGGCTCTGCTTAGTATAGAGCAGCTACAGGATGTACACTTTCATCTCTACAGAACATACCATCTCTACATGATACGTGTATAGGGAAATGGGTCAGCTCAGCTGTTCTGATTCAGTTAGATATTCCTAGTAATCCTCATCACTGACTAGGAAAGTGTGTATCTTTATCAGTAGTTCCTGGGGTCATGTATTCGGTGTCACTTTAGATCTGACATCAGCTGTAGACTGAGCTTTAGTAATAAAGTTGGAAAATAAGCTGAATAACACATGGTGTGTGTGGGCACATGATGGACATATATGATGGAGGGGAATACAAGGTTTCCAAAGCAAGTTTTGTCTCAACTGCAGTGCAGCCAATCAGCTTTTAGGATCGTGAGAATGAGATAGCCACTGATCGGTAGATATGGGCAAATGTACCAATTTAGAGACCTTGCCTCAGTAAATTCCTCTGAAATGTCCATGTAAATGACTTTGTAGGCAACAAATACCTCAACAGAGTGTCCGGTTTGCACTGTAAGAATGTACATATATGTTTAGAGGCTTGGGGCCTATTCACACTAGCCTGCAGTGTTTTGCCTGGGTGGGCTAGTATTTCCCGTGTACAGGGGAAGTGCTTTGCACTGTTTCAGTGCTGTTTACTTTTTTAAAAAAGCTTTATTGAAGTGTCACAAAATGACACTTTTAGTTAATGCACCGCAGTGGAATTGTTTAGGTGACGTCCTGTACATTGCCATGCTGCATTTTCTCTCAGTGCACTGACACCCACTGCAGCCAGCTTTGCAGTGTGAACAGGTCACATGGAAAACAGCTTTCTGTGTGCTGTGGTGACCTGCGTTGTGCAGAAAGGACATTGTTTACTGGTTTCTGAAATTGGTTAAAAAATGGGACTGATTCCTGAATCCTGCATGTGTCCATGGTATACGTGATGAAGGCTGTTCTGGATCTTGCACTGAAGTGTTAATGATTTGTGTTCTGTTTTATATTTGCAGTTGCTGTTTTCAGGTTTTGTTTTTTGGGGGGAATTTTTACTTTAAATATGGTTACATACTGACAGTGTGTTTGTATATTAATGGTGTAACTCACCTGCTAGTAGTTTGTGTAAGTGTGTAAGATTTACTTGTTTAGATGAGTTTCAAGATGACAATCTATTTTTCTTTAAGTCAGTTTTTTTTATGTCAGTGTTTTATCATTTAAATCTGGTGTGACCAAGACTCCAGTGCTCTAAGGCCTCATTCAAACTGACACAGATATACACGCGTATGTGCGTATTGTACCATATGCAAATAAATGGCTCCATACACATAGCTGCGTATGGAGCCGTATATTTGTGTAGTGTAAACATGCGCGAAAACGGAATGGAACCAAGATGTGTCCGGGCAGCGTATTTTACGCGCATGTTAACGTACGTGCGGTTCATTCAAATTTCTATTAGGAATGATGCATTCTGGGAATGCAAATAGACTGCACCATCTACCTGCACATGCATGTCTTTGGGGTGTGGAAGGAAGCCCATGCATGTGCAGGTAGATGGTGCAGTCTCCATGCAGATAACACGGGCCGGGAAAGGAACTGCGGACTAGAGCTACAAGGCAGAAGTACTAATCATGGGGTCACTGCTCTGTGTCATTCTTATAATGTAGTATTGTGTAGGTGAGAAAATACAGGCTTTGTACTGAACTCTAAACCAAATGCTTGGCAAAGCAACACATTCACTCGAATACTCCCCAGCAGCCAATGCTTGCTTTTTCTTTTGCTCCCCTGCAGCTCTGTTCAGCCAATGCTGAGTTGCCTTAGTTGGAGGGCTGCAAGGCTGAGGAGACTCTCCCCCATCTGATAGTGTTGAATCAATTACAAGCAGCCAACACAATGGTATTAAAAAAGGGAGCGAGTCCTATACTAGATGAAGCGTACGAAATTCACTGCGTTGGTGCCGCTGTCGGCACCCTTCCGCCCCGGCATCCCCTGATCAGTTAATTGAAGGAGCAGGTTGGAAAATTCTTGGCCAAACAAAGCTTGCAGCCAATCAGGTGCAGGCTCCATTCGGATAGTCTGACAACGGCCGGCGGCCTTGGTCAGGATACAATGGAAACGGCAAGGGATTCCTCGTTCAATGCTCGTAAAAGTTGATGGAGGGATCTGTTCTTTTCAAGCAACCAGCAGGTTGAACTAAAAAAATAGAACAGTGTATACCTGTTTTTGATGTACTGTAGTCTCTTGGCTCCTGGTGGGGTGCATAAGAGTATGTGCTGCTAGGAAGATGGCCAATATACCAAAGCACAGGTATGATTAGGTGTCATTCAAAGTGAATGGAACCACACATGTCGCAACACGTATCCAAAGTTGCTCTCGGGGCCAGTACATTCTGACCCAAATCCAAATATTAAGATGACAGGTCCAGGGTTTAATTTCCCTCTTTATATTTGCTTTCTTTTCAGAAATGGCTCCACGTAAGGGTAAGGAAAAGAAGGAAGAACAGGTTATCAGCCTGGGGCCACAAGTGGCTGAAGGAGAAAATGTGTTTGGAGTCTGCCATATCTTCGCCTCCTTCAATGACACCTTCGTGCATGTGACTGACCTGTCTGGCAAGTAAGTGCCGCGCTTTCTGGTTCTGTTCTGTGTGGGGATCATTACTGGAACAGTACTTGTGGAAAGTTTTGGGGGGGATGAAACTGCTTTGGTAGCACTAAGAGATGTGATAGGCTCTTTACATTTTTATTGCTGTCTGTCATAACTATATAATGTTACAGGGACCCTAACGGGGTTGCAGCAAGAGTTCATTTTTATCTAAAATTAAAGAAAAAAGGCATTGTGTTTTATGCTGCGCTGGTAGTGGAAGGGTGCCTAGCAAGGGTCGTAGGAACAGTTTTCATTAGAGGTGCACCGAAATGGATATTTTAAACGAAACCGAAATAAAAACATTGTCAGGCCGAAACCGATACTGAATTTTTTATTTTACATTTTAATTTTTTTAAACTTTTTTATTTTTATTCATTTTTCATTAAATATTTTTATTTTTAACTTTTAGGGGCTTCGGGGAAATATTAGGGATCTAAACAGACCCCTAATATTTCCCTTTTTTAAAATAGAAAAAGAGATTGAGGACACAGAGTCCTCAATCTCTTTTTCTGTAGCCCCTGTTATCAATGAACAGGAATCCTCTGAGTGTTCCTGTTCATTCATAACATGAGGATATGGTATGTTTACTATAACTACAACTATGAATGAACAGGAGGAGATGTATATCACTTCCCATTCTTTCATAATTGAGGCCATAGTACACATACCATGTCCTCAATTATCTACAAACACTCAGCGATCACTGAACGCTGAGCGTTTGTACCTCGCTCTCCTCTCTGACACGCTGTCACAGAAGGCTGAGTGAGCGGTGGAGGGAGGAGAGCTCAGCCTCCTGTGACAGCACTGTCCGCCCCCACACCGCTCTGCCGTACTGTGATAGGAGGCTGAGTGGTGTGGGAGGAGATGCCGGCCGCTCACAGCGCTCTGGTCCCGCAGCGCTAGGCCCGCTGAGACACAGAGCAGCAAACAGCGGGGAGGAAAGAAAGCAGGCATGCGCCGATGTATCAGCAGAAAAATGGCACTTTCGGCATTACGCCAAAAGTGCTATTTTCGGCCGATATATCGGTGCATCCCTAGTTTTTATACTTTGATAAATAGGCCCCAGGGTTTCAGAATGAATACAGAAATAAACAATTCTGCCTATCCTGATGGTGTCTCTGGTCACCTCTTTCCCAAAGAATCGGCCACAATTCAGTGGGTGGCCCTGCCAGCTCACAAAGTGTATCATTCAATCCACTTTTGTCTAAGGAGCCAGGTAGAAAATTTGACTGAACAGTGACTGCAGTCTTTAATTTGCACTCATTGGGTTATTTGGGGGCCTGCAGGGGAGATTCCTCCATCTACGCTCTTGTCGATGGGAGAATTGAGTGATTTTCTCAAATAGAAAACTCTAAGTTGTATGGCCAACTTAAGTCTTGCGTATGTTTAAAATGATTTAGCTTCTCATGATCTTGTCTATTTCAGAGAGACAATCTGCCGTGTGACTGGTGGAATGAAGGTCAAGGCTGACAGAGATGAGTCCTCTCCCTATGCCGCTATGTTGGCTGCTCAAGATGTCGCTCAGAGGTGCAAGGAGCTTGGCATCACAGCTCTCCACATCAAGCTGCGTGCCACCGGAGGAAACAGGTAAGGGCTGTCTGAATGACTGTCATGCTGGTTGCAGCTCCGATCAGGGTGTTTTGCGTTTGTCAGATCTCTGATTTATATAAGGGCCTATATGAAATTTAAATCCTCATGATGTACTGAAAATACTGGGAAAAGAAGTTTAAGTAATTGCAACTAAGGCCCCATTTACACCAAGGTGTTTTGTCGTGAGAATGCATGCAAATCAAAATCCCATTTATTCCTATGGGGTACATTCCTGCAAACGTGCTGAATTGCTCGTAACATGCCCATTGTTTAAAATAGTCTGAGCTTTTGTGGCGCTTACCAGCTTGTTTTGCTCTATAGACTTCAATGGAAACGTGCTCATCAGCGCGTTTTTGCGCTTTTTCACACTTTTTTTTAAGTGTTTTTGCAGCTAAGACTGCTTTTCATTAGACAACTGAAAATGAGCTTTAAAACGTTTTTATATAAACAGAAAACGCACAAAAGTGGTGAAACGCTATCGCCCCGGTGTGAATGGGGCCTAAGGCCTAGGAAGTGCAGCAGACAGGCAATTTAAAAGAAAGTTGCACCTTTTCAGGGCAAAGTGTCCTTTCGGTTTAATTTTTATCGACTGGTTTCCTTTCCTATCCATTCCCACTGTTGCTTCCTCCGTTGCAGCCACCAACAACATACTCGCTGTTGGAACTTAGAGGGTGGGGTGATGTCAGCCCTCCATGTGACATTGCACAGGTCTAGTGATTGACCAGTAAGCCCAAGCAATGCATCATGGGAGGATGTCACATTCTCCTTCATTCTTGAAAGTACTGGGCATTTTTTTCAGTGGAAGGCAAAGGAGCACCGGCGAGTATTCAGATGACATGTATGCTGTGGACACCTGTGATGACTAGATATAATGTAGAGATTGAAGTTCTATTATTGCAGAAATCAAGATCCTGTAATTTTGCCCTTTCAATGAAATGGTATTTAAATATCACAAGATGTCGACATGTTCAGACTTCCAAAGTTTTGCACCAGTTATGACAATATGCACTTCAGATGTGTATTCCTGACCTTGCCTGCTCTACTGGAGCATGTATTTGATGGAGGACATTACTTATTTTGACCCTGGTTACTCCAGGCCCGACATCTGTACAGAATGGATCTTACATGTGTTTGAAATCTTTAGTCACAAGTTCATTAACCACTGTTCCCCTCTTCTAAGCAACAGGGCATGTTTTAAGGATTTTCCCAGCTAGTGTTAATTACACATTATCAGAGATGATTAAATTCCTTGTGCAATATGACGGGAGAGGGCAATCCTGAGAACATGGGCTATTGACTCTTGAGGACTGTAGTTAAAAAAAGCCTGGTGTATTGATCCTTTATGCATAAGGAGTTGTACTAGTGAAGTTTTGTGCGTAAATACAGTTTCTTAACTTTGCATTTCATATGTTTTTCAGGACCAAGACCCCTGGCCCTGGTGCCCAGTCTGCACTCAGAGCCCTGGCTCGTTCTGGCATGAAAATAGGCCGAATTGGTAAGAACCTGCCATTATTTCTGCCCTTAAATGTACAATATAGTGTTGAATTTACTGTGGGAATATCTTGGAGGCTTGCTAGATGTACCTTTTTGAAATAAAGTTCAAAGCAACTTAAAACTTCGAGTAACCAAATGACTTATAAAGTTATCACTTCATATTTTTTAATCTTTAGGTGCTGTAGGCTTGTCTCAGTGTCTTGAGTACTGTTGAGATCTCCTATTAAAGTGGAGTTTATACACTTCCTGGTCCATTTTGGCACAAATGATGTAATGTGCCCAAGTGTTGTATCTTGGGAAAGTTACATCAGCAGAGCATTTCTGAGGAATCCTATCAGATCTCAGGGAAAGGCATTTTCCTCCCCAGAGATGCTCTGTATGGTCCCATGTCCTAGTCACATGTTCCAGGAAGTAAAGGAATATCTAGTAATCTGCTCTTAGTAAACATGGCCACAGTCAGAAGAGTGGGGAAAAGAGAGATATATACAGCATGCAAAGGATACAAAGCCGGCAATTATCTAGACGTATGTGTTTGTAGATTGTCATTACTAAACATTTCTAAAGGTGTTTATTTTCAAGATCTGGGTAAAGGTCCACTTTAACATCGGTCCTGGCTCTCTTCTGGTCCCCCTATATCACTTTGTAAATTGTATGATAAAAAAGATATGCCATGCTAAATATTGTGTGGATGTGATGTGTAATGCTTTGGATATTGTTGGGTGACTTGTAGCTATTGCATTATGATTGTGTGCTTATTGTCCAGTAAATAGCAGAAACTATGATCTTATGCTGAAGATATTTGTATAGTTCTGTTTCTTTGTTGCATTCTTGATTACCGGGGAGAATGGGTCTGGCTGGTATTGGGTGGCAGCTGTGGAGACCTGTAACTGTTCATTGTTTTCAGCTATCTCTAGTGTGACCATGCTGCTCCTCCATTGATACAGTATAGAGCTGCAGCTAACGATTATTTTCAAAATTGATTAGTTAGCCGATTATTGAGTTCGATTAATCGGTTAATTGGATAAAAAATAAAATACATTTTAAAAAATGGCTCCAGTGATGGGACTACTAGTTTGTATTGAGTGTAGTCCATCACAGGAGCAAGCTTGGAGCGGTGGAAGTAAAAAAGAAAACAAAAGTGTGGTGTGCAATATAGTGAAATAAAGTGTAAAATTATACAGCAATGAATGCAGAATGGCACCGGCTATAGAGGACTACAAATCCCAGCAATAGTACATTATACAGCACAATGCAGAATACCACCAGCTATAGAGGACTACAACAAATCCCAGCAATAGTACATAATAGCTGGCGGTATTCTGCATTGCGCTGTATAATGTATTGCTGGGTTTTGTTGTCCTCTATAGCTGGTGGTATTCAGCATTGCACCACTGTATAATGTATTATTGCTGGGATTTGTAGTGCTCCTCTATAGCTGGTGGTATTCTGCATTGCACTGTATAATGCGTTATTGCTGGGATTTGTTGTCCTCTATACAGCGCAATGCAGGATACCACCAGCTATAGAGGAGTACAACAAATTCCAGCAATAGTACACTATACATACAGCGTATAATGTATTGCTGGGATTTGTATTCCTATGTATATTATACAGAGCAATGTACCATCAGCTATAGAGGAATACAAATCCCAGCAATACATTATAGAGCACCATGTGTGGGAAAGTGCAGGCTTACCTGTCTACTCGGCGGCTGTCATCCCCCCACACCTGCTCCTCCTTACTACTTCTCCCCACGTCCCTGTGCCGATCATGGATGTGGGCGGGCGGGGAGGAGATGCGGCGCGTGGAGGCGTGCGGGTCTGGCAGCGGCAAACTTGAGGTGGGGAGTAGGTGCGGCGCGCAGCGTGTGTGGAGCCGTAAACAGGGCCAACCAATCAGAAGCCGATTAATCGATGATTGAAAAAGTTGACAACTTTTTCAATAATCGATTATGTCGATTAGTTGTTGCAGCCCTAATACAGTAAACTCAGTGTTATCACCCTAGGACAGGTAGTTATTTGCAGGACTACCAGGTAAAAAAAAAAAACCTGAAAACAAATGCAACCTCCATCTTAAGACGTAACTGCAGTACATTTATATATTTTACTTAAGTTTTATATACACTTTAAGAAAAACAAAAGCAGTGAAATGGGGATCCTTGCAACCCTTTGCCCCTCTTGCACTGTTATGTTCAATGGTGTGGTCGAGAGGAACAGTGAAGCTGCTGATTTGACCAAATTAGCTTTAACACAAGTCCCACTCGACCCTTAGTCATGTTAGTGTTTCCTCTCTGCCTTCTGTTTATTTTAAAGAAAGAATGTAGAAAGTTTCAAGCAGGGGGGTTACCCCTGTACTGCCAGGGTCAACTGCAGATGATTGGACCTGCACTTGACCTGATGGCCTCAGTGGTCCTTAGACTGCCAGAGACCCGTTAGAAGAATCTGTGGGGGCTGGTCTAGCAGCCAAGTGGGATCAAGGGTCAGGTCACCTTTTTATTTTGGGCCCCTAGACCAAAACAAGCGGTTAACCCTTACAGTGCTGGGTAAGCCCCACTGCACGTGTTGTATTCCTGGCGTTCCTCTTTAAAACGTAACTCCACCCTTCCCAATTTTATTTGGATAGAGCAAAGAGACTAGTATCTCTAAGGTTTTTATTGCTATTCCTGGCCTCATTGGTTAGATTTGCCCACAGATCCTTTCCCAAGTGACATGAAGTCACTTGCACAGTAAGTGTCAAGACAAAATGCAATGCGGATGTAAAGACACTACACTTTAGTAGAATGGAGAGGGATTAGGAGTTAAAATCGGTCTGCTTTTGTTGCAGTCTTCGTCCAGTGGCATCTACTCCCCTGACTTTTGTCTGGGACACCAGGACAAGACATGAAAGGACATCAGACCAAAAGGGAAACGCATCCAAACCTGACAGAGGCTCTGTTATTCTAAACTAAAATGAAGATAATTTAGACTGGAGTGTGGCTTTAATTTCCACAGGGGAGAACATAAGGTGTACTTGATGTGTGCTCTATCAGGACTACCTGTGTTGGGGAATATAAGTGAGACACTGATGTGATTTGTAGGATGGGAAATGGGTTTTGGTTGCTATGGGTAACAATCATGTTTTCCTCCATATCTTGTTAATCATCCCAAAGTATTTAGTAGGCTTTAAATGCTTGTTATGGGGATGTTTGTTTTTAATGCTGATCAGTAAATGTTGGCAAGTGTTTTTCTAATGGTGGTTTTGTTTTTGCCTTTTTCAGAGGATGTGACCCCTATCCCTTCAGACAGTACCCGCAGAAAGGGTGGTCGCCGTGGTCGTCGTCTGTAGTTCTCCAACTTTGTCTTTCAATTGTTAATAAAATAATCCGACCAAAAAGATGCCTGTGTTAGTCTTTTCTTTAAATGAAACTTAGTCCTGTGTATCCTTAAGCCCTCGTTCACACCTGAACGTTTTGTAAAAAGTTCTACGCTCGAAGAACGCTCTACAAAACGCGCAAAAATATAAATTGCATTGGAGTCAATGGACTCGTTCCCACCTTGCCGTATTTCCGCCCGTCCTGAACGCGCTACAAAACGGCCCACGCCTGAAAAGGTACAGGCACTACTTTGGGCCGTTTTGTAGGGCTTTTTCCATTGGAATACAGCCAAGTAGCCTTCGGAATCGCGCGACTTTTTTTTACCGCGAATCGCGGTAAAAAAAACGCGCGACAGACGCGCTTTTGCAATACGCCTAGGTGTGAACCCAGGCTAAGGGTGGATATTTTTTCTGTGGACACCAGTAAGAGGTCATAAAGAAACCTGGGATTCATAGGATGAAGAGGACAGCATTCTTCAGCATGTGAAAGTGGACCTGTTATGTGGGAAACATGCTATTTGTATTTGACCATTTCTGTAAATGCCAGCTGCCTTCCTTTTAACTTGGAGTAAATAAGATCTTCATCAGCAACCTTTTTATATAGTCGTGATCTTGTCCTTTTTAAATAACCTAAAGCTGAAACTTTCACAAGCTAGTTGTAGCTGTTTCTTTATGTGAATAAAGGACAAGATTATCCCGAAACAAAGGTGTGCTGGTGAAGATCCTTATTTTTCCTATAACTCCATTGTTGTATCATCCGCTAGTTTACTACATACAGCCCCCGCCATGAACTGTGGGCAAGCCTTGTAAGGTGCATGACGGATGCAATACAACTTTCCTTCCAAACTTAGTAATGAGCTTCTGATCTGCAGATATGTCCCTGGGTGGTGACTCAGCAGGTATTGAAGCTTAGTGGGTCTGTCGGGCAACTACAAGTTTTTGGGTGGTTAAGTATCTGAAGCCAAATGTTTGTTTTGGATGGTGTGGGGAACGATTAGAACCTCTGTCAGATTCTATTGCTGTCTGTATTCCCAATGGGACATAGTTAAAGAGAAAACATTTTATCGCCCAAACCCAACAATGAACTTTTCCCTTTTAAACTTTAACTACAATGGACACATTTTATCTGTCCAAGAAGTGCAGAAATGCCCTCAGCGCTTAAGTCCTGTTGCCAGCTCACCACATAGCATTTTTTTTGTGGTCAGAATTGTCATCCCTAATGAGTTTCCTTTTACGAAACTCGGACGCGCCAATTCTCACGTCTCCTTAACCATTCTGCTGACTCAATACTGAAAGGGTTAAACGCATTGAGATAATGCAAGCAGTGTGTACAAGACACCGCATAGCTCTGAATTTGACGTGATCCCTTTTTATTTCTGGTACTTTTGGAGGGTGTTTTAAAGGATAAAATATGGGGATTTACTGCATGGGTTTTGTCCTGACCATCACTTTATGGAAATGGAGCAAATCGGATTGATCTGATGACACCCACTGATAGTACATGGTTTGGAGATGGTGTTTGGTAGTACATGGTTTGGAGATGGTGTTTGATAGTACATGGTTTGGAGATGGTGTTGCATTAAGACCTCTGTCTGAGGTTACTTTCCCTTCCTGACTCTGGCCTCACGGCTGAAGTTTTCACTACAGTCATGCAAGACTTTATGGCCCACATCATCCAGTTATGTGGTGACCTGATCTACCCGGGGCCTCTAATTCATTAGCTGCTGAGATGGATTCTGAATTGCTCCAGTTTTTACCTGAGAAGTCGCAGTTCTCTGCCATTACTCGCAAATTAAGAGACTGTTTTCACTTTTGTTGATGCAGTGTGCATCACTCTAGGGCAGGGGTCTCAAACCTCCGGCCCTCCAGCTTTGGTGAAACTACAAATCACATGATGCATCTCTCTCCGGGAGTCATGTCTGTGGCTTTGAGAATCTTGCAATGCCTCATGGGATTTTTAGTTCCACAGCTGTAGGGCCGGAGGTTTGAGGCCCCTGCTCCAGGGGATCAGCCTGTTGCTTCTATCTGTTCTATTCCCAGTCTTGGGTCCTTAAGAACCCATAAGACTGCAAATACTTTCCTGGTATACCTGCTGTTCCAAGTCTTCCTCTACGGAGATTTGAAAAGCCATGATGTTTGCTCCACCCAAGCACCTAATTAGCCTTGTACCCTTTTGAAGAGTGCTTTGTTAAAAAGTGGTCTTCTCTGACTGTGGAGCCTTAAAGGAGAACTATGAGGTGAGTGCTTTTCACTCACCTCATAGTTGTAGCAGATAAAGTTTAGTGGAAAAAAATTAAAGTCCCCCCCTCCAAATTTTAAGTTACAAATAAAGAATTAAGAAAAAAAAAAAATATTTAAAGTCCCCACCCATACATACACACATGCAAACATGCGTCGGGGGCGCATACGTGCAAAAAAGACGATTGCGCCCATTACGCCGCACATGTTACATATCGCCGCGAACGTCGCAGTGAGAGCAATAAGTCTAGGGCCATCAATCACTGATAACACTAAACTGATGAGCGGTAAAAACGTTTAAAGTGTCGCCTATGGCCAATTTTGGTTGCCGTCGTTTTCTGTGATGTCACGGGTGCGTGCAATTTTAAAGCTTGACATGTTTGGTGTCTATTTAACCGATGTGACCCGATCTTTTATATTTGACCAAAAAACTGGGTAATAATAAATGTTTCCTAATTAAAATAAAACCCGTAGTGGTGATTAAATACCACCAAAAGAAAGAAAGCTCTATCTGTCCCCAAAAAATGGTATAAAATTAATTTCAGTACAGCGTTGCATGACGGAATAAACGTCAGTGAAAGTATCGCAGCGCTGAATACTGAAAAATGGCCTGGCCAGGAAGGGGGTCTAAACACCTGGTCTTGAAGTGGTTAACAAAAAGGCCACCAAAGCAGTGGAGGATGTACCTGTCTTTAAGGACCCATATGATAACCCATTAGAATCTCTCCCTAAAACTCCTTAACCCCATATTGGATATGTCCTCATTATGCCAAACCTTGACTGACAGGTTGAAGACCCCTGAAGTGGAGCTAACTCCCCATTTAAACATTGCCCCATTTCTTTAGGCACTGCTGTGCTGTCAAATACTGTCGAATCATTGTTCTCAAACTTTACAATTTCAGACCTCTGACCTTCATTTCAGCTCGGCAGAGCTGTGCACACCCAGTTTTTGCTGTATTTTTTTTTTTTTGCATCCTAGCCATCAGGCCCTCCTTCCTGCATTGACCCACATCATGGCAATGACCTGCCTGCTCTAAGGCAGGGTTTGGCATGTTATTGGGGAAATTTGCAGGATTTGTTGGTGACGTCAGTGGAGGGTGGAAGAAGGCATGTAGGAAGTAAGCGCCAGGCTGGATTGAAGATGGTGACAGCATCGGCTGGAGGAAGGGTTGCACAGGGAGCAGTATAGTAAGTCTATAAACCTATGAGAATTGAGTGTTCATTTCTTAATGACTTTGGGGCACATATGATGCAGGATTTTGTATCTATTTACCAGTAGACTGGGTAGTTCTGCTTCAAAAGATAAGTTACTGCTGCAGTTGATCTCGAGTGGAGCAAATGGTTGTAGCTCATAGCTACAGTTTTAACAGGCTGCTGGAGGCCTACCATCTCATCCCTCGCATGGGTCTCCTGTCTGTACACATGTGGAGGACATGCTGGTTGAAGTTCTGGACTGTGAAAACTATGTCTAAAAAGCCTCTGGTCCGCATGGCCTTCATTTATCTACCCTGTCAAAATCCAGACCCCCCCAAACTTGCTCCCAGTCTATAAGGTCTCTCCAATCCACCAAATCCTCAGACAAAGCTTGACATAAAGGTGTCTCCACAGGGGGGACATTTGTTAGCCATTGCAAACACTTGGAGTGCTTGCATCCCATTTCGCCTGGATTCGGGAAGAAGGGGGCATCCTGCGCCATCTTGAATCCAAAAGCACTGAATCTCTTCATTTGATCTCAGATGTTCTGTACAGACTCTACCAGGTCAGTCATCGCCTCCCTTCACCAGGACGACTTTTTGGCTTCAGTGGATATCAAAGACTCATACCTACATATTCCCCTCTTTGCAGAGCATCAGTGTTTAGTAGGCTTTGCTGTGGAGTAGACATGTAAATTTTGTTTAGTTCCAAATGCATATTTGTCTGCCTTTTGGTAAATTTGGACATTCGGATGCATCTGAATTTCCGAATTCCAACGCGTCCAAATGTAAACGAATCCGTATTGTCATTTAACGAAAAATTTGATCTGAATTTCGTTCAAAGTGAAACTAAATCGGACATGTGACTGTTCTCTGGCCAATCGGATGTTTTGTTGGCTGTTGGGGGTTGCATCACAGGCACGGTCATGTGACTTCCTATTGTGGATCATTCTGAAATCCGAATAAGGAAAGAAAAGTCTGAATAGATCGAAAACGAAAACATTTTTTTACTGGGTTACATGTCTGCTATGTAGCCGATCTCCATCAATCTGCTACACTACCAGTTTGTGGCCCTGCCCATTGAGCTTTAGTCTCCACTTTGGGTGTTCACTAAGGTGCTCGCTCCACTATGAGCCCTGCTCTCATGGCATCCCCATTGTTGGATATTTAGATGAGCTCCTGTTGGTCAGGTACAAAAGTTTTATTCTTGCATTTACCTCAAGGGCCAAAGTTTTTACATCTTTTTTTCCCCTTGAGGCTCATTTATACCATATTGGACCTGTTGCAGTTAGACTCCACTTATCTTAATGGAAACCAGAAAGAAATATGGAGCCTTCCAACGCTGACCTCCTATTGAAAATGATTTTCTCTTGGCTCTCTTATATCAATGCTTTGTGTCATTGATTTAGAAAAAGAACACAACATGGGAAGAATATGTTGAATTAGTATGACAGAGGTTGTCTCATCTATTTCAAAACAGGTTTTCTGTAAGTGAATTTGATAAAGTAATGATTATTCCACTTTAAAAATATCCCCAAATATCCAATATTTACACATCTGGATCTATATCAAAAGCCACAAAAAAAAGCTATT